TTTAGAAAAGTATTCATATCCGAAGGAAATCAAAAGAATAATGGCCTATGTCCTACTATGCTTTTACAATAATGCTCAAAGCCCAAGGGCAATAACGCAAAAAATGATTTGCATGTGTATTCAGTATACTTCATTTTCTAATAAAATTTCTAAAATATTTCGATAATTAAATCCTTCTTTAGGTAAGAATGGTCTGCTTAGGGTGGGGATCGCCTTCATTTTTTAGGCTTATCATATGATAAAAAATTTCTTATAATTTTTCCTCGAAAGTATTGCCTTAGCACTTGCAAATTCCCATGAGTGTTTGTCAACTTATATTTCGGTACTGGTATGGTGTTTATCTTCTGGAATATTCAAACTATAGCCACTAAAATACAGTCCACTAATATCCCGACCCGGTGCATGCACGACCAAGAAGAGAAGTCGACGTCAGGAAGCCAAGACAACCAAAGTTTAAGGTAGTAGCTGATTGGCAAAGCTTCATACATTTTCTTTGGGACTGCGACATGCAGGTTACTTTCAAAATTTAATCTTTATATCTACCTTTATGTCTACCTAGATTTCATTCAGTTTCATATAAAATTTACTGTGTCGCCTAAATCTATCATCAGCCGTATCAACTCTACTTATTTTAAAACAATTACGTTACGGCATACTATTGCAAAGTACGACTTTTCATTTTTTTTATTTTATACCACAGGTTTGTTATATTTTTATTATATATTTCTTTGAATTTATTATGAGAAATTGAAACCTTAGTTTTCATCGAAAAAACGTGTTATTGAATACAATAATTATAGAATGATATTTGCATTAGTAGCGAGGTTAATGTCACTTCTCACTCCGTTAGTCTACTTAAATTAATGATTGAAATAGCACTTTCAATCCATAAAAAAATATCTTTTTAATAACCCTATTTTTAGCACCGGACAAGAAAAACTTTGGTCGTAAAACAAATAATAATAATGCTATATATCCTACCTGAATATGTAATATGAACACGCCTATACACAAAACTATTATTTTGTTCAAATATATTTTAATGTTTCGTATTTTAGATAAGCTACTTAAGTACCACAAATTGGAAAAATTAACTTTTTTTAACATATTTTATGTACCCATTGAGGTAACCTCCCACTACATTTGGCGATTGTTATTCAATGGTAACTATTCATTTGTTTACATACATTATCGTTCCCAAGTTAGGTAATAGTCCAAATACGAATTTATATTCGTAAAATATACAGAATAGCATGTACGAAACCAATTATTATACAACGTAACCTATATAGGTACCTATCTTATCGAAACACAACAAAACCAGTAAAGTATAGTTTTTGGATTAGATGAAATCATTTTTTAAAATATACGGGGCATACAGCGCATTGTTATTATCTAAATAATAATTTTGATGAAAATTCTCGAAACAGGTCAATGTTTTTATTTTAGTTTACTGTATTTTTACATAATAATTCAATATTTATTTTTTCACCCTCAAACTCCCGTGCTATCATCCTAATCCAGAGATTTAGGAAGGGGAGAAGATGTCATAGAGGCACTAGGTTTATCTTCGTACTAACTAATTAACTAAGGGGGAAACTCCTATAGGGCAGACAGGCGGCGCAGCTGTTATGTGGTGGGTTGGAAGGTGGGTGGGAGTGTAATGACAGGTGAATGTTGATTTTTGTGGGGCGTGTTATTTTCAATTTACCTAATTGATTGAGTTGACTACTGTAAGCGTGTTTTCCCATTATAACATCCACTGCTTTGTGCATGTTCTGATAGCTGTCTTTGTGATACCACAGAAGGGTTTTTATAGACCTGGCTTCGCCTTGAATGAATATATGCAGTAGTGTTAGGTTTGGAATGACTTTTAGAGCTGCTGTTGGAGTCGTTCCCATGGCTCCTGTAGAACTCAGGCCTGCTTACCTTTGAATATCGTTGAGCTGTCGAATGGCTCCAGCTTGCCGAGTCTTTGGCCACCGTGCCACCGACACGTAGGTTATTATAGGTCATATGTTGTAGTTTCCAGTTTTTTCCACACAACCTTCGACATAAATTTTGCAATTGTTGATTCAATTTTAACCTGTGGTCAAAGATGACTCTTAAGTATTTGGCCTCTTAAGCAAATGGAATATTCACTTCCTTCAGTACTGGTGGCTTTAGTCCTGTCAGTACTTTTCGTTTTGTGATGTTACTTATTGTGGTTTTGTGACGGTTTACTATTAGTTTCTCTTCTTTACACCACTCATCAATGATTCTAGATTGAATCTGCGAACTTGTCTGTTACGACGATCGCCAGGTCATCGGCATACCCTAGGCAGTAGAAATTTGTAGATATTAGCTTTCTTATGAGTTCGTTCACTATGATTGACCAAAGGAGAGGTGATAGTAGCCCTCTCTCGGGACTGATTGGGCGTTATGTCTTTGGTATCATATCATTAAACCTTTCTATTTTAGGAAGGTATATGACTTTCACCTTGTGCCATGCCTTTCGTATATGTCGCTTTAAATATGCGACACATTTGTGGAATTAAAGTTTACTGTTCCTTTTATAGCAAAATGGGATATATTCCATCTACCCTGGGGATTTCTATGGCTGAAATTTGTTTGTAGCTGTCAGTCTAATTTTGTACCGCTTCGATATTTCTGTAGCTAGCCTTCATTCCAAAGAAGGTGACCTACCAGACATTCTTTGAGGGCTGTACACTACTATCGGGTCTAACAAAATTTCTGCGGCTGTAGTTTTGTGAGCATTGTTAATGTTTCCTTTAAGGTTTTTCTATAGGTTTCATCATTATATAGGGTAATATTGCAGCAGCAGTAACAGCAGCAGCGGCAACAATAACGTCTATTCAAAGAAATGGTAGACCCTCACAAAACAAGCCACATATCCAATCCAGTTAACGAAGCAAATATGTTTCACTGATCTGTAAGTGAAAATTACAAATCATTGGATTTATTTCATGATTTTTTCGAAGATATCAGAAGTGTCATAAAATATTCTTTTTGTATACACTTATCGGTGATGTTGTTAATTATGAAGATTTATTATCCTACACTAGATGTACTGTAATGAGCTTTACGCCAAGCACCATTATTTAAATTAATATATTGTTAATTTATTATAGTTTTTAAAAATAAATTACTACACTATGATTAAAAACTCTATGTAATGACAATGACAAATAAACATACTAATGTTAAAATTTCATACAAAATGTTGAAAGTGTTGTTTTTATAATTCAATCACAAGCCAATAAAACAATAAATACATGGGAACCCAAAATCACTTGACAGCATTGACCGCATTTAATGCTAGTAAAAAGTGAGCCATAAAGGCATTCGCAACTTTTTAATTAATCCTGAGAAAATGGAGGCGCAAACAACGTAGTTTCGGTGCTCGAATCTTGCGAAAATTTTGAGTCACTATACTGATTTTTTCGTTTTTCGTATACTGTGATTGAACTCCTTACAGATTAGAAAGACATTAACTTTTTCACAGTGTACTCTATTAATTAATAAAAATTGTATTTCCTGTCATTTTCTAAACAAAAAGTTACATTTTTCCAAAATCCCACGTAAAGTTTGTTCTCCGGTTTATACTTACTTCTTGGGATAGCAACAATGATGTACAGGTAAGGAAATCTAAACGTGAACCCTCTATTTTACAATGAATTGGAAAAAGTATAATAATAACACTCGTGAAACAAAAGCCGGTGAGCAGCACATTACCTATCCTGTAATATGACACACGGTAGGTCCGACTTCCACTTCACTTCCATTTACGCTCGTCTCTAAAGGTTCTTTTAGACCGTCATATCAGTTCTCAGTTCAGTTTCAATTTCAGCTCAGTTATAACTTCATTTGTGGAAACGCTGCCGTTTTAGACGATCAGTTTGAGTTTTCATTTGGTTTGTACATCAATGATGGATGAAGATTCCCTAATTGCGATCACTTTGTGCTTAGTACTAAAGGGACCACGAAAAAAAAAAACTAAATGGAGCCAAAATTGGCTCCTAAAAAGAAAATTATACAACTTCATTTTAAACCTTGTGAATGGTCAAACTACTTATGGATAATAGATGCATATCAAGAATGGCTGTACCTATTTAGGTACACCAATTATAAAAAAGCGAGACATAAAAGGAGATAGATCACCAAATGAGAAGTTAAGTTCAACACTAAGATTTTTGACAACTGGGAGTACTCTTCAAAGTCTTAGATTTCTTACTGTAATAGTATCACAATATCTGAAACTTGTAAAGCTATAATGAAACTAGTGAAATACTGTGCTGTAAGTAAAGTAATGTTGCAGATAAAGATCAATAATTTTTGTCAGAACGCCGTGTTTTAACAGGTTTGTTTCAACAACGATCAGAAACCAGTCATTGCCTCCAGGATTGTGCGCAGTATGAATTTGGCGGTCTAAATAATCTACCGCGCAGAATCCTGGTCAATGAATGTTTTCGGATCGTTGTTGGAACAAACATTTACAAATCTTCTGCGAATAAGTAGACGTGAACGGACAAGTTTGTTTACATTTCAACTGATAACTGTGTGTTAGCAGGTAAATAAATTTTTGTGTGATTACTAATTGTAGTATAATGTAGAGAACATCGGTAGTCAAGAGCGGGGAGTGTGGGGAACTGATGGCAGTAGTAGCGAGCCGTCGTCTGCGCTCCTCCAGGCAGAACGAATTGGGTCGCCTTGAGTGTCTATAGTGTGATCAGCTGTTGTTGCTGTTGGCATTGTGTTCTATCTGTTCACTTGGTAACTAAATAATTATTTGACTTAATAATTAATAAAATCTAACATGTACGTAAACTTTTAGGAAATCCATCGAAACAGCTCCATATCAGCTTCAATTTTCTTTCATTGTTTTGTGTTTACACATACATATAACTAACAACTGAACTGAAACTGAAAATGAAGTGAGAACTGATATGACCATCTAAAAGGACCATTATAGATTTAGCTTAACTGGTCCGTGTATAAATTTCTTTACCTGTAGAGTTATATATCATTGGGTAGGAATGGGAACTGATATAATCGATTAACATTAAAAAACAGCAAATATAAGCTATTTTTTTTTTATTTAAAGCTACCAAAAAACCATTCAGAAATAATTAAAATTTAAACATTATTTAATACTATGAAATGCAAAAAGAACTTATAAGTATTTATAAATTACAACCTTGGACGTAACTCTTAACGTTACCAGTGCAATATTTGTAAGTAGTCCAAGCTTTAAAACCGTTTTTTTGTAACTTTTGATGTTCGTCAAAAACTTGTCTGAGACATTTCACGTCATCGTCGATGTTGTCGTCTAGTAGAGCCGAGCATGGAATGTGACAGCCATTGGCATGTGCATTGTTGGGTAAATCGCACCAGAAGATCGATGAAATTTGGAATATACCGTAATCGGCTGTTTCAGGATTGTACGCTTTGGTGTTAAAATTGGATTCGTGTTCGGCTAAAAAATAAAAGTTTATTTTAGTTTGCCTATAAAAAAGTCAATTTTTTCAAGAAATTTTACATTTTCATTCTTTGAAATATCTGAATTATTTATGCAGGATGCCGGAACATTAATCCTTTGACGAGTATGAAATGACATAGAGTTTGTATATTAGTATTAAACTACAAAGTATGATCACCAGACCCAGTAGAGAAGTGTTAAAGAATATTTTAGATTTTATTTTTAAGAAGATCTAAACATTTGTCACCAAGTATATAATAATGTCAAGTCATCAACTTGATATGTAACGATTCCGGTAATTCATTCATATTGATTTACAGAGTAAAGGCCTATAGACTGCTCCTTGTGGGGCTCCATTTTTATTCGTCATCTGAGTAGATTTAAATATATGTCTCTTATATAAAATTTTAACAGACTGAAATCAATTACTCCACGAGCTGTTCCACGCGCTCCATATTTATAGAGTATATTGTATCAAAATATTCAACTTTTATCATATTTAAAGAGATGTTATTTTCAAGTTTTATTTTTATATGTTCATTTATGATATTCCATGTCGGCTTGTTTTTATTGCTAGACGAATTAATGTTAATAGCAAAAATTACTTGTATTACTACTAACATGAGAAACCACCATTATTTACTCCATTCCCCTAATGAGAAATAATATTTCTCACCTTAGGTAAATAATGATAAATAAAAAATCCCCTAGGCAATTAATAAAACATTGTCTATATTTTTAATGAAATCAATAGAAACTCTAATGAGGTTTGTTCATAGAGACAATTTCCAACGATTGGTAATTCTATTATGATGCGCGTGCGCGATTTCCAATGGTTTGGGATTTATTGTAATTTTTATGCTCTGTGAATGCATTTTGTACCGTTATGGATTCTTATCTACCTATTCCACATACTTTGATTACTATACGGTGCAATAGAGAGGTCCGACACGCCCAACATAAGGCGCGGCCATTTTGATGCCTTTACCACAGTTTATAACTAAAGAATCAGTTCGCTCACTCAGCGTCGGCACTTTTGATCTCAATGTTCCAGTTTATACACTGCGCAACTCGGATAATACAATATATGACAACCGCCTATAATAAAACAGCAGTCTTCTGCGCATCCTGAATTTGTATCCCTAGAGTGGATGTTATTTTGGAACTTTCAACTAGTCCGAGTGAGCTAACTGATTCTTTAGCAATATTATTATTTATTTCCTTTGATATTTCAACGTTAATAATTTCTCAAAAATTGTTATTAATGGAAACACTTTAGTCTGAACTTAAGTAGTAAAATAAATATGCTTATGCTTGCTTTTTAGATTCCCAACTGATTAGGCATACAATAAATATTTGGCTATCACTTATAGGACTTTTATATTATTTTTTACTTACTTATGCATATCCATACGGGAATTTGTTTTTCGGGAAATTTATATTTGTCTTTCAATTCTTTTGCAAGTTGACATTTTTCATACTTTCTTGCACTAATCAAGTAGACTTGAAGTAAAACGCACAATAAAAATATTTTGGAAATCATTTTTTATTCAACAGTAGTTACTGAAATAAATAAAAATACATATACATACATAGTACTTAATTCTTGTTTTTCTTTACAAATTTTTATATTTTAGGGTTCTTACACTTTTACTAAAAAAATTTTTAAAAGATCATGGCTAGGAAAACAGTAGCGATTTAAAACTGGGGAGTTACAATACGGGTAAAAATACCCACGTTAGAAAGTTTCCGTTCAGGGGATGAAACTGGCAAAAAAATGTTTTCCCCTAAAATCCAAAATGGACGAGACCGAGCGTTTTTTTGTAAATGACCTGTGGTGTCCAAAATTGACTTTGTTTCGTTTTCAAATGGATATATTGTCATTCTAGTTTAATTTATTTTAGATGATATGCATTTTTCACCATCTTATGCCAGAACTAACCAAAGTTGTAGCCTTAGTAACCAAGTTTGGATATATTCTCCCTTGAAACAGTAAAATGAATATCATCTAAAAATAAAAATAAAGTACATGCTTAAAAAATATTGTTCTGAGATAGGTGTCTGTGATTTTAAATTTAAACGAAATTTTAAAATATTTTTAAGTAATTTTTAAAATTTTTAAAATTGTTTTTAATAATTCTTTGATGAACTCAAGTGACTAGACTGTCAAACTTAATTCCAAGATTTAGTTTATATTGATTTTTACTTTTATCTTCAGATTTTTTTAATATATACAAAAATAATATTAGCATAATTATTAACAGAAAATTTCAATAAAATATATTGGTTTCAATTAATTTTATACATTGAAAGATTTAGGTTAAACCTTTATTTCTATTTGTTTATATTTGTTTATATTTAATTAAAATTAATTATTAAAACTTTTTAAATTTTTTAAGTCAATTGTCTTTAAATTTTTTTAAATTCTTTAAATTTTTAAAACTATTTTTTATTTAGTTTAATTTTTTAAATAAGGATACTTTACTCTTGATCCAAATTAATATTTTTAAATTCCTCGGTAATTTTTATTTTAATTTTAAAGTTTATTTGATTAAATAAAACATCAACTTTTTAAACAAGAATAATTTTTTCTCACCTGTAGATATATTCAAATTATCAAGCCATATTTATTTGATGAAAATAATTAACCCTGTTTCATTTGACCAAAAATCAATATTTTGCTATGACATAACCAATAGCATTAAAGATTCAAAAAAGAAAGTAAGACAAATTTTGTCAATATTACAATATTTTTATAAATAAACAATAACTATTATGTATAACGTAAATTTATCTTTAAAAATCTCCTGATTTCATTATAAATATTTGGTGTAGATCTCTGATGATTACAGAATAAATATATTTTGTCAAAAAATTTACTACCGTTATGAAGTTCAAAAAATTTAAATAGTAAAATAAAAAACAAACTTACACTCTTTGTTGACTATCAAAAACCTTATAAACTTTATAAAACTTTTTTATGAACTAATAGATTTTTGTTTTTTAAAAATTGGTAAACTGTTTCTAAACAAAGTCGATGTGTATCTTAAGAATGTTGAGCAGGTTGCTTATATACGACAATTCCTTTACTTAGCATACGTTGATAAGAGACACCACCAATAAATAAATAGTTTACATAGTATAAAAGAAAATGATAAAGTGGAATTTCTCCAGCAAAAGCTTGGTAAACCCAGAAGAAAAAAATAGTAATAAAAACTAACAGAAAACCCCGTAATTTTCAGTAAAAATTATGCAAATATTTTATGAAATATATCAACTTATGATTTTATTATTAAATATAATATTTTAAATGACAATTAAATTAATCTCTAGAATGCTCTTTTTTTAATTTATAATCTTAGTCATATGTAATCCGCATGAACAATAAATCTAGATAATCTCCATACCTACCAAGAATATTTTTATTATGCTAATATTCATTCAATTTTAAATGAACCAAATAATAGTTTTATTTGTAAAAAAATCAAAAAATATACGTATTTATGCATACCAAAATAAAATAAAACAACTGTCATTCCTATACAGGGTGTTAAAGACGACACCCGCAAAATTTTATCATCTATTATACAGTGTGTCCCAAAAAAATTATACTCATGAAAAAAGTTTTGTTTTTTTAAATAAACAATTATTCTTAATAAAAGGTCTTTTTTTGTTAATACGGTCAAAAAAAGCACATGAATCATTTTTTTTACTGTTAGTTTTTGCAATAAATTTTAAAATCACAGCATTTTCAAATCAAATATTGCAAATGCAAACCCGTACTTCCTATTTACAAAATCAAGGGGTTGATTGTCACTTGAAGGGAGTTGAAGATAGGGGTGAAATTTGCACGTTACAGGATGTCATTTTATGAACTAAAATTGACATTGGTATTTCGAGATTTTTTTTATAAATGTGCACAGTATAATGAAAGGGTAAAGTGATAAATAATGTTTCATATAATTTCTTGGGCGGAGGTAATTTGCCCACAAAATATTTAAAGCTGCTAATCCTATAGGTAATTTGCCCACAGCAAGTAAAAGGTCATCTTAATCCTGTTGGTATTTTGCCCAAATTTATTTCTAACTGAATAAATCATAATAGATATATCTTTCATTTATTATTTTTTATATATTATCGAAAAGTAAAAACACATTATTAATTAAACTAAAAATTATATTAAACACTAATTTTTATTATTATAAAAAAGTAAGTATACATAAGTTATATTATATTTTTTATATGTTTATATTTTATTTACATATTTTTCAACTGGGAGGGATAAATGTGATACAAATTTTATATACTCTAATCTGCTGATTTGCTGCAGATCAAATCGCTGTATAAATTTTTCTAAACACTGAATTTTTTGTTTTACACTTTTGTCTTTGATTTTCTTAGGTATTTTGTATTGTGACATACGAGTCGATTTGAAAGTCTTTAAGCTTTTCTATAAAAATATATACAGAAGGATGTGTACAGTAGAATGAAGAATTAAACCTTGAATGAAACGACTCACAGGCATTTGTAGTTCTTGTAATTGAAGCTGTTTTTTCTGCCCATATACTTGGAGGAAATGTAGAATTTTCTTCAATATATGTTTCTAATAGGTAATCGGCATACCTATCGAGAACGGCATTTTCTGGTTTACTTGCCATTAAGTCAAACACAAAACAGTCTCCAACTTCATCGGCGTTTAAATATGTCAACCCAAATGATGTTTTAAGCCATTTTTCGGTATCACTGTTAGTTGTATATTCAGTCATTAATCCCAGAGACTGAATTTTACGATACCACGCTTGATGTAGATAAAATCGGCAGCCATTGATTACAGTATTAGGCCACATATAAATTAACGCCTTATGAATTGCTATTTCAAAATCAACGAACACTTTAGATGGATTTAAAGCAATACTGTAAGTTTCCAAAATTTTATAATGCAATAACGAAAACAAATGTTTGTATATATCGGTAGATTTGTTTGGTAATAAACAATATACCAGGGGCACATAGTGTCCATTACACAGCCCATGAATGGTAAATAATTGTAGGAAAAACTTTGTACAATACGAAAATGTTCCATCCATATACAAGACGTTCATTTTACACAAAGTACGAATATTTGTCTCACATGTAAATACAATAATATTATTTTCTCTGCTATTTATTAAAAGAAAATGTTCACCTTTACTGGTTTTAAATGTATTAGAATATAAGTCAACTGCATCATGCACTTCTTGTATATTTGTAGGTAATGGACCTGGTAGTATTTTGCGACGACTGTTGTATATAGTTTTTCTTATGTAGGACACATCAATTGTAGTTAGTGACTCTGGTAAATTAGTAGCAAGTACTTTACGGATAATTTTAGAAGGTTTTTCCGAAATATCATCAACTGCTTTTCGCTTACACGAATTAGAAATAATTTTCCTGTTTAATTTCGGTTCATTTGCTTCATGGTTATGAATTAGGTTGCCTCTGGATACTAAAAGTTCAGGACCAATTGTAAATACAGTGGCATTACAAGCATTTGTTTTTCTTTGGGAGCATCTCCAAGAAACTTCTCCACTTTTCATTTCTCTATCTTTGGCAAACGTAAAATTCTCCAAAAGGAGTACATCTTTCGCGCGTGTGCTTTTAATCAATGTAGCTGACATTATAGAAATAATTATTGTTTATAAACACTCGAATTACAATCATCAACGTATAAAAACTGACTGAAATATAAACAGTAAACACCCAAAGTAAGTACCTATTAGAATTATTAATAATCAGGTAGGTACCTATTTGTGGGCGGATGTAATTTGCGGGTTTAGGTACCTGAATGCTACTGTGGGCAAAATACCAGTAAGATTAACGCACCCCTTTACTTACACAGGTAGAAAACAGAGATTTGTGGGCAAAAAGGACCCGCCGAATTTCTTGACTATCACCTCAGTTACTTTCGAGGCTGTAATCTTTTAGTTTAGACCCAACTATATAAAAGGATAAAAGTAGTTCTTTTTAACAGACGTAGATAATCCTGTTATTCTTCAAGTGAAAAATCGGAAATACAATATATTAGTTTTGTCATACTTTTGAGAGGACAAACTTTGAAACTTTTTATTGATGATATTTATCCAAATTACTATTCCATTGATTTGGAAAGTACTGTAATCTAGGATGCTTAACTATTTTAATTAATATGGTTGAAAAAAAAAAGTAGAAACAAAAATAGAGAATCCTCCAACAACAAGATCAGTAAAGTCTTGGAGTTTCTATAACACACAAAAGTGTTTCCCTTCTTAAGGACCAACCCTGTTTTTAATAGTTAGCAATTAAGTAATAGATTATTGTAATAGTAATGGCTTCCGTTTTTGGAGACATAAAAGGTTGTTTACTCTTCAGGGACAACTTTGTAAATGTTATAGTTGGTAAGTAGGTAATTATTTATTTAAAAAGTTATAAATAAATGTCAGGGTTGTTATGACATCGATAATAATCCAATAACTAATATTGAAGTGACAGTTTTCTATAATTAACTATAAAATAAGTACTTAACTAAATTTTCTAAGAGATATAATTATACAATTTCAGACTTCAAAATTAGAAGATAAAAGCAAAAAAATTACAACTATTAACGTCATTGACGTCTTTTGTATAATCGCATGGTATTAATTTAACTGTTAGTAATGCATTGCTAATAAAGTTTCAATATCTTTCTGGATTTTTAATAATGTTATTTTGGATAAGAACAATGCTGTCTTCAAAATAAGCATGGTACCAAATAAAACATACATTACAAATAATTACATCCCAAATATTTAAACACAATGTAATACATTTGGCAATAAATATTATCATTAATATTTGATAAGGCTTTTCTGCTTCTTCTTGTCTTCTTAATCCTTCGTTATACTATTATGAGTATTATACTTTTATACGACTCTATACAGAATGTTTCATAATATATGCGCAGGACTTCAGGACGTGTTTCATCAAGTTTTATTTCCAAAAATTGACCATGTCTTTCTACATTAAAATTTGATTTTTCTCGAAAACGGTCAACTTTGGAGCGTATGACCAAGAGTACCTTTTTTGTGAAGAAAACATTGGCGGTTCAAGTGGGTGTCTCAAAACCGTACTTTTTCAACACCCTGTATCTCGAAAATGGTGCATTTTAGAGGGTAAGTTAATAGAAACGTTTTTTCATATTTTTGGACGAGCTATCACGTCCTAAAGTCCTGCGCATATATTATGAAACACCCTGTATTATAAAGTCGTAGAACAATTTTTAGCAAACCAAACTGAAATATAAAGATGAACATGCAGATACATTCCTACAAGTTCTGGAAATGAAGCAAGTAGTACGATACTATGAATGCATCGTTAATTAATTCACCAAGTAGGTGTAGACAAAGGTCTTTGACACTTTATGTCCATGGCAGATTCGGAGAAACCTAAATTAGGACCAGGATCTGAATATAGTTAAATGAAATAAAAATGTATCTAAAAAACGCTTTAATAATGACAACCGGCAACATAATGATTATTATTTCCTGAACAATACTGATAGTAAGTAGTCCACGCTTTGAAACCATTATGCTCACGTCCTTGGAATTCGTTGAAAATCTGCTTAATGCAAGCGACATCATTATCGATATTATCGTCCCTTAAACTGTCACAACTGACATGACATCCGGCATACGGGGCGTTCATCACGGGATCGCACCAATACAACTGGCTGATTTGGAACAGACCATTGTCGTGTGAGTCTTTGTTTATAGCGGCAGTATTGAAGTTTGACTCGTGTTGAACAATGCATATCCACGTTGGAATCTGATTAGCTGGAAACTGGTATTTGTGCCTTAACTCTCTAGCTAGGGTGCATCTGTCGTAGATTCTGGCATTTATGAGGGCTACTTGCACAGCCACGATCAAACAGATGATTTTGAAGCTCATTATGATGCTGAAAATGAAAAATTTGTTAAAGCAAGGTGATTTTTAAGGAATTAGTGCAACATTTTACTTGAAGAATCTATATATCGAGTATACCTATATATTGCAGATAGTCAGCGTCCAAATAAACTTTGTTTTGATGCAGGAGGGAGCAATTTACAAGTAGAAATACATATTAAAGTATTATTTATGTGCGATAAGAGATCATGATGGAAACAACAACCGTTCTACAAGATAATTTGAGTCAATTTACAAAAGACTTCTACCATATAGCAACAAAAAGGCATCTTTAGAAACACATCAGATTTAGATAGTACTTCTATTTTAACTGATTTATCTATGACAACCAGCAAACTTAATGAAATCTTAAAAGAATACAGCGAGTTCTAAATAGTGCTGGGTTATTTTGATCAAACTTATCTACAGCTCTTTCAGTTGCTAGGTTTAACAGGATTTACGGGAGTTTAAATTGATTTAAGAAGGGGAAACAAAGTTGGGTTGGTGGAAGAACGTGAGGAAGTAATAAGACAAGGAAATTTACAGGATGAAGATCCAGTCATAGATGGAAAATAAGAAAGATTAAAACAGAAAATACCGTCGAATGATGTTTTACAGTTATTAATGATAATAATGGTAAACAAAATGGATGAAAATAATAAGAAATTTGACTAAAATAGGAAAGAAGATACGGAAAAATTAATGAAGAAAATGAATGGATTGATAAAGAAGATAGGGGAACAGATTAAACAAATTGAGGAAGCAATGGGTAATAAGTTGGACAACAATCCAAGGATTTAGACAGCATAACAAAAAATGTAGTTAGAAAAATAGAGGGTAATAAAATTGAAAGTGAAAAGTTGGTAGAAATAATAGAAATAAATAAAGAAGAGATAGAAGAAATAAAAGAAATAGATATATAAATCAAAGAAAAAGAAGTGAATGAAAAAAGAGAGTCAGAATATAGAAAAAGATGGAAATAGAAATATTGAAAATAAAAGAATCAAAAAAGAAAACGACAAAGAAAATGAAGGACATAAAAAATAGAGAAAAATAAAAGGCAAGACAAAATACAAAAGGAAGAACAAATATAAAGTAATAATATTAAAAATATATCTAGGGTAAATTTAAAACAGACATAGGGGGATAAAAGAAATAATAGAATAGTAAATTAAAATAATAGTTATAGTATAATAAACCTAAAACAGATACAATGGAATGAAAAAATAATCAAACGGTAAATAAACATACAATGAAGATATCGGGTCGATGGTGTAGCGGTCTAACGCGCTTATATTCATTTATAGGCAAGTTTATGAGTCCAAGACTGCTGGGCTTCGAATCCCAGACCAGACCATGTGGATTTTTAATTAAATTGCATGGTTCGGTTTAGGATTTGATGTGTGCCGTATTAATAGAAAATTCAATTCCTATTGATATGACATGCAGATTATAAAATCGCCATACATTATCGTCTCGATGATGGTGGATGAGGTTTTCCGGGTTTTCCTCACCTGTAAGTCAAATGGCACCATCAATCATCCTTAAGTCTCCCCGGAGCGCCACGGCAAATAATAATAATAGCCGTCCCTTTCCCTACACAAGTCGTTCAGTCGACTTCAGGGGTTGAAATTCACTCGTAAGGGGGTGAATTAGGGAGAGTATTATTATTATTATTATTATATTATAAAATTAAAACAGAAAAATAGGATAGGTAGGGATGAATTTTTGAAAATAATTAAGAATTGAGAGTTAACAGAAACGGAAAAGAAAGAAAAAATGTGAAAGAAAAGCAGTACAATCTAGTTGGAGGCGGAAATTTAAAATGTGTTAAATAGTTAGTTAAATAATACGAATAAAGGAGCGAGACAGAGTGAAAATAAGGTTAGAAAGAAAGGCAAATAGAGATATTACAATAATTAACAAAAAAAGGACATTTAGTCCTAGTTGGGGCCTTAAGAGTGACAAATGAAAAAAGAAAAGTATGTGCAAAGTTTTGATGGACATTTAATGGGCCGTAAGTTGTCAAAAATGTAGATAACAGTTACGTGTGAAGGTATGTAGAGAATGAGGGATATTTAATATTCAAGATTTGTATTAATAATGTTAAAATTGAATGTGTTGTAGTGTAATTGTAATAATATTTTGATAATATGAAGACCTTTTAAGTTGAGCGTTAGAAATCCAACAGTTCTAACAGTTCTTTCTGTGTCACAGATGTAGTGCTTGTGCTTAAATGATTTTTGCTTGCTTAAAAAGTTACAGGGTGGAGAAAATAATTTTTTTTTTCAATATTTTTACGATAATTCAAATATTTTTTAAGTAAATATACCCAAATTTTGTTAAAGCAAGTTTTTTGGTTAATACAAATGAATACCAGCTTTTTGTTGTATTACATGTACAGGGCGTTCTAAATTGGCGTGCCAATCTAGTATTTACTTCAGATTTTTGTAAGAATTGACATTTTTGAAAAATTATTGATTATTTTGAAAAGGCGTTCAATTTGCTTTAAAATTTTTGGATAGAAATTTGAAAATCTTTCCATTTTTAATTTTATATTATTTTCACTGACAGGAGAGAATAATAAGCCGACAATTAAGCAACAACCACCAAAATGTAAAATTTAATAACCGAAAATGCATAATTATATAAATGGTATAACGAAAAATGGTTCGTTAGTTAAGACATGAGAGAGGAATAGTCAATCAACCTGTATGGTATATTTAAAATCAAATCGTTTATCTCCTTTATTAACAAATGTTCCTAAAGTGGCGCTGGCAAACAAAGCTTGGACATAACACAAATCAATAAAAAAATCTAACAAAGAATGTGCATAGAACTTTGTAACTGCCTTTTATTTTTGAATGGTCCCATGAATCCCAAAGGCTTTTTCAGAATGTATTTTTATTTTCTGTATCAAAAATAAATCTTGGAATGATGAGAAGTACAGAAAAAAATTAAGTGAAACATTTTAACGGACCAAAACGAAATTTACAAACTTTATGAAAAGTTAAATACAATAGAATGGAACCAAAATAATTTTACTCAGGTTGTTACTTCTATATATCTAAATAATTTGATAATAAGACTTACCTTTAGCAATAACTATATTCAACTTTATACCACAAATAAAACTTTATGTATAAAAATCAAAATAAGACAGTATTTATATACCCATAATAACATTTAAAAACAAATTAAAAAGACCAGACTATCAGAAGATTAAAGTACCATTAAAACCATATTGAAAATACCCTAAAAGTAATTAAAGGGATGAATATGGTTGATGGTCCATCAAGGAAGTTGTTTTGGATTAACATTCCTACAGGGCTTTTTAAAAACCATGCACAAATTTAAAATAAAATTGGTTAAATTATGAATACCCAAATATTCGTAGGGAAAAGAACAGTTTACATATTTAATTATATAATACTCAATCAATTCTTAAAAATCGATCGAAATATCATTAAGTGTAACATTTTTCCAAATCCATTTAAAAACAAGTTGGCAAAGACTAATATGTTCATAATATTTATTATATGTAGAAAATAAATTTATATTATCTACCGTGTGATCATGTAAACAAAAAAATATTAGGAAATAATATAAAATAACAAACAAAAATACCATGTGCTTTATTTAATTTCACCTCTAAAATATTTAGATTATTCTGAAATATCTATTTTACAAACCAACAAAGTAACATCAATTTTTTTATGAAATTAAATGTTTTTAATAATATTAAAATTTAATTTCTTATTCCCTACATGAATGTTTGTTTTAAAATTTTACAGTTTTGAGCACTAAATTAATAGTTTGTAATTTACTTAACTGGTTTTAAGGTGTTCCTTAGGCCCATAAAACAAATGAAATACTGTTAATTAATTAGGTACCTAATGAAAAAGCTATAGACAATAATAAGTTTTAAATTTTTAACTTCACCATGGGATGTAAAATTGCGTGCGTTAAACATTTTAGAAATTAGAGCAATACGACCCGCAATAATTTTTATTTCTTAGAATAAAAGGATGCAAACAACCAGTGGTGGTTCGTAACCAAAATATTGGGGGTTGACAATGACATAATATAGATATCAGTAAAGATTTAGGTAAAAAACTTTCAATGGTTTTAATGTACCTTTCTAAAACTATTCAGGTTTTGATTTCTTAGTAAATGAACAACTTTTTATAGATGAAATATCTTCAAACTACCAAGCTGTTGGATTAGTTGAACTACCACCTTTATTTCGTATCTACTTCTAAAAAACAACAACAAATTTTATTTAAATTCGTACTATTTTTCAGAACGTAGTACAAGTTCAAAAGGATGACATTTTATTTATACCTCATCCTTCAATGCTTATTTGTAGTTAAAATTAAAAATTTAATAGATCTGATCGGTCTAATAAAAGTTTTCGTTTAGATTTAATGATGTTTCCATTGTTTTTACTGTGATAAACCTTTTCTTTTGACAGATAAGCCAGACTTTATTTATTCATAGCCGTATCGTATGTATAAGATTTTTTTATTGTGTTCGACATAAAATATTTAAATTTAATCAATTTTTTATGATTTCAGTGTTTTAAAAAGAATACATCGTATGTCGCAACCCCTTAGATATACCAACCCTTCTTACTAACAGTTATTTGGTTTAGAATACCTAATAAATTGTTGACATTGACATTTTTTCACAATTTTAATAAGGTTAAAGACGCACTTTTATATTTGCAAATTTTAATTTAAATTTTAACATTATTTCACCAATTTTTTGCATATTTTTTTGTGGATACTGTCTTGGATTTAAATACAAAATAAAATAAATGTTAGGAAAATATTTTTTTACAATAGCAAAATGAAGAATTATAAATTCAAGTATTATTTCTAATTCTTTTGGTAATTTTTTCAAAGATGATCTAAAATATTCCAAAATAAAATGTATAATACGTTGTCTAAGCTTTAAAACCGTTTCCTTTTACCCTATTGAATTCTTTAAAAATATTTTTAATACATTTGACATCTAAATTATTATTTTTTTTTCATCTAAAAATTTAAACAAAGTGTACTGCAAAAAAGATTTAAATTCCTCTACATTTAGCCTATTCAATTCTTTAAATTTTTTTTTAATACATTTGACATCATGATCTCTAAAATTTTTTTTATTAATTTATAAATTATAAACAAACTGTTGCAGAAAAACCCTTAAATTCCTTTACATTTAGAAATATATTTTGCAGTATTCCCCTTACAATAAGCATCATACGTTGTCCAAGCTTTAAAACCGTTTCCTTTCAGCCTCTTAAATTCTTTATAAATAGTTTTAACACATTTGACATCATCGTTAATATTATCATCTCTGAATTTCGTACAAGGAGTGTTGCATCCACCTTTGGGAGTATCTAGAGCTGGATCGCACCAATACTTTTGGCTGATTTGGAACAGTCCGTAGTCCATGGTGACCTTGTTCATCGCTTTGGTGTTGAAGTTGGACTCGTGTTGAACTATACAGATCCATCTGGAAATCTGGCTACGCGGGAAGTGGTATTTGGTTTTCAGTAGCTTGGCCAGGGTGCATCTGTCGAAAATTTTGGCGTCTATCAGCGCCAAGTTGATGACGATGCAGACAATGAGGATTTTGAACATCTATAAAAAAATTAAACAGTAATTGTTTAATTAATTCAGGCAAACAAACTCAAATTTTACTAAATTTCTTGTTTTACCAGTTTGGGATACATGTATGTTCATTTTTCTCATATTAGGCATTCCAAACAAAATGGCTGCCTAAAGGTTTTGACATGTTTTTTAAAATACTTAACATAAGCTCATGTTTTGAAGTAAAAATGTAGTTAATTATATTTTGTTCTATATTTAAAGGCTAAAATTTGCATTCCAATTAATGAGCACGAACAAGGCAATATGGCCACAGGCAATGGGACCTGATTTGAGCAATCTATATAATTATAATATATCATTAATCCTGTCAAAGACCTCCGGCAGCCATTTGGACAGGTGGTTAGAATTCCTAATACAGACATAATATTTATATTCGATTTGTAGATGCGAACGTTTGTCTCTTTGATTACAAAATTTACATTTATTTTGCATAAATAATTTGAATTGTCCAAACCTTCAGTAATAGCGTATAATTTTGGCCATCACATAAAAAATAGTATTCCACTGCTTTTAAAACTAAAGTATTGTTTTAATTTATTTATTAAACCTATTTCACTATCATGTAATAGTATATTCCAACAGAGTAACAGACTGTACTTTCTCCACGGCCACAGACACAGTAGGAGTTGAATATAATAAAATGAAGCTTTAAAAAAAATTACATAATTAATCATAACTTATGTTAGGCAAGTTTTTATTTAAATTATTTGCATAATTTGTCAGTTCAGGAGGAATGCTATCCAATTCCATATAAGAATCATTATATTCACAATTTTTTTAATTTAGGTCCGACTTAACAAACGTCGCTTATCTTTATTCGGGCAGATTCAAACTAATATGTCGCGTAGAACAGTCAGTCATGAAATTCATGACTATCAGGACTATCTACAATGCAGGCGCCTACTTACAGCCACTAGCAAGTAGCTATTACATAATGAACATTCTGTCTCTAGAAATACGTAAGAGGCAAGGGTTTCAGAGCAAAAATGTGTTCTTTCTGTTTTTGTAAGTGGTTTCGGAAGAACTACATTCGGTAATGGCCGTGGAGTAACTATATTTTGGCTGATTTTTTCTATTTTGTGTTGCCCATATCGTAGATAAATAATTTTTTCCTTAAAAATTAAATTTAGCATTCGCGAAATTATTCTGCATATCAAAAAAGGCAATTACAATTCCTCATTTCTCAACGCTAGTTGATTTAATCTAATTCTTTGCAGACTGGTTCTGATTTTTTAAATGTTAAGTGAAATTACCGGTGAATATTACTATTTTCCTCTCCTAATTTTTTTCTTTCCTAACTTTTCCTTTTTATCTAGTACGAAAAAAGAGACGAAAAGCCAAGAAAAACTAATTTCCATCACAGATATTACAAACTATAAAGTCCGTTGAATACACATTATTTGGTCCTTTGAGTAGGATTTAAATAATTTTTATTCGTTTTGTTATATACCTAACCGAATGTAAGCCAGGAAATTAGTTGTTAATTTAAAATCAATGCCTGTTTCATCCAAATTTAGTATTATGATCAGTGGTAGTTAGTGCATAAATGCTGTAGAGTGGCAGAACTGCCAAAAAATAGAAGCATCTCATCTAAATTTCACAGAAATTAATTTAGACATTCTAAAATAGATTTTACGGATAATCTCATTATTTTCATTAAATTTTAATAATAAATAGTAAAAAGTGCAGTGCACACATCCTATTTACTATTCAATAATTAAAATTAATGAGAATATCCATGAAATCTATTTAACGTATAATTTAGAATGTATAAAATAACTTCTGCTAAATGTAGATAAGATACTTGCATTTTTTGGCAGTTTTGCAGCTCTAGAGCATTTATACACTTTTACGTCATGTGTCAAACTCGAGCTTGTGGAGCTAGTCAGTTTTGGTGATAATAAATGCAATTGCTTTTAAAATAGCTTGTTTCAGGTACGTTTTATTTCAATTATCGCAATATTTAATATTTATCGGCAATATTGCTAAAATATACCAGTAGATCATGCGCAATCTCAAAGTAATAGTAGTGGCGATACACATATAAAAAGCCTAAAATTAAACTAGTTAAATTTGAAGGAGAAAATGTTTTCTTGTGACCTATTTTTTATAAAAAAATAAAACAATTCGTTATGGCATCTATATTTACTTTGGTTTATTCCTTACACCACTAAAACATACAAAATAACAAGAATAGCCATTCCATCAGCTCGAAATCCATCAAAATATTTGTATTGAGCGTCTCTAATCTATATTACTAAACTTTTGGCAGAGACTAACTTAACTGTAGTCTGTTAATCTTAAATAGTTCGTAGTTTTGTGGCTTTTACGGTTTAAATAAAATTATTTCAAATCAAAAAATGGACGTTTTTTTTTTAATCTTCTTGTATATGTTTAGCTGCAAGAAATGATAAAGGTCATAAAAAAGAGCTGGATACAACTATGGCATATATTTACGATACTCATAAGATTTACTTGAAGAGGAAAGTAACGTCATAGGAAAATAAAAACGAAAAAGAAGAAAAAAATAAGAAAAAGAAATGAATCAAATGAAAATATTGGCATTTAAATAATTTTGTAAAGTGTATATAGGTAGGTACTTCTTATATTAACAAAGTAAGCTATATTTTATGTTTTCAAATAGCTATTAAAAATATTGATACATGTCACAAAAATAATTTTAATACAAATTTTTTAATGCGGATCTGTGAAACTCCCTTCTGTTTATCAAAATCATATATACCTATTTAAAAAAATAATTCTTGCTAAATTAGTTTCTTACCTTAACAACTCATGAAACAACTCTATATGCAAAATGTTGCTGTTTGTGTCTTTTATATTTGGATAGTTTTGGATTACCACAAGATGTTGATAAGACGGGTTTATCAAGTGATTCTTTATATCATTGTTATGTTAGGTAAAATCTGAAATTTTATAATCATTTTAAAATTACTTAAAATAAAATTAAATTACAGCCATTTAAAGCTAATTCAGACAAAGAATTATCTGTTTATAATCGATTTTTTTATAATTACAAATCTATTTCCAATTTGTACCATGTGATAAATAATCTTATGATTTGTCTAAAGATTCTTTAAACAAATTTATATACTAAGGATATACTTTACTTCACAAACGCGCTTTATTATATCTATCTGAATTGGGGCATGGTTCAAAGCTCAGTCGTACTGAAACTCTAGGTTTATTGTACCCCTCACAGCTTCTACCCCATCAGATTGATTTTCCTGATGAATTCAAGAGTATGTCTGATGGGCGATTTCGCGATATCTTCAGGTTCCGGCATAGCATGTTAATAGGAGTTTCGTCCTCCTCTTCACATATTCTAATCTCATCAGATATCCTAAAGAGATTAAGATGTCTTCTTCTAAGGCCGCAGTGTCCCGTAAGGAGTCCTATTGCGGCCTTGACTTCGCTTCTGCTAAGGTTTAGCAGTTGATTTTGTCTGCTCGTGGATGGCCCATCTATAAATCTTTTGGACTGTCTAGTCCTGGAAGTTCCAACCAGAGTCTATAGTGTTGTCTATTTATTTGTTCCTTTAGCACACATTTAACATGTTAGTATGAGATACCACATGTGGGTTCTGGTCCAATAAGAGTTTTTTCCGCTCCCTTCCTTGCTAGGAGGTCTGCTTTCTCGTTTCCAAATACTCACTCATGTCCCGGCACCCATTCAAGGGTGACCTTGTTATGTTCTGCCAGGGGCTGGAGGGACTGTTGACAATCAAGTATTGATTTGGATTGTACTTCGACCCTTTTCAGGGCTTTAAGAGCTGCCTGACTGTCTGTCATGATAACCTCTTATCTCTAAAAGAGTAATTTAGCATGACTTTGCCGCAGGCATTTATTGCTGTTACTTCAGCCTGGAAGACTGTTGTTAGTGACCTCAGGTTAAGACTAATGGTCCTATCTGAGTTCATATGGTAGATCCCAGCTCCTGTGCTGTTTTTCATTTTCGAACCGTCTGTATACCAGATTGATTCGTCTTGTTTTTCCCTATTTTCCCGACTTTTGGCCCTTTCTGGTATTTAAATATCGAAAGGTTTCATGAAGTCGTGAATAATGGGCGTTTTATCCGATGGCATTCTTAATACCGGATGTTGTTTTAATTTCTCTAATATCATTGTATGGTGTCCTTTTCTCGAAAGTTCAAATCCAAATCCTGTATGCCGCCACCATAGTCCCCTTCTCCACCACAAGGTGTAGTGACGGAAGACCTAGCAGTAGCTCCATTGCTGCTGTGGGCGTAGTTCTAAATGCCCCTGTTATTATTAGACAGGCTAGTCTTTGTACCTTGTCTTGTGCCACCATATAACTGATGAGTAAGTTATAACAAGTACTACAACCATAGTGTAAAGCCAGTGCATCATACTTATTTTAAGCTGCCATATGTTCCCTACCATCCGTCTACAGGCCTATAGCATTTTTACAGCTTTTTCTGTTGTTTTTTCTATATGGCTGCAGAAGCTAAGCTTGTCATCAAGATTTCAAGATATTTAACCTCTTTTACCATTTTTAGATGTCCCCACATATAAAGCTCCTTCATTCCTTGAAGGTTCCTTTTTCTTGTGAATGCAACAACAGACGTTTGTGTCGGGTTTGTGGACAATACCTCTTTTAGGCACCATCTTTCGAAGATATTTAGTGCCTACTGCATCCTTTCGGATACAACAGACCTAAATTTTCCTTTTACTACGTTCCTTATGTCGTCTGCAAATGCTTGTGTGTATAAGTTTTCTCTCTCTAACTCCCATAAGAGGTCATCAACCACCAAGGTTCACATAAGAGAAAATAACACTCCTTCCTGTGGGAGATTACTGGTAATGGTTCTATGATTAAGCATAAATTCAACCCACTTCGTAATGCAGTGAGCTACTCCATGCCTGCGTATAGATCCCAGTATTGAATTATATGAAGCCCAATCAAAGGCTCCTTCTATATCTAGGAAGACTC